CAAGACTTTCTCGCATTAGCAAGACTTTCTCCCAAGAGCAAGACTTTCTCCTATGAGCAAGACTTTCTCCCATAAGCAAGACTTTCTCGCATTAGCAAGACTTTCTCCCATGAGCAAGACTTTCTTCCATAAGCAAGACTTTCTCGTATTAGCAAGACTTTCTCCCATGAGCAGGACTTTCTCGAATTAGCAAGACTTTCTCCCATGAGCAAGACTTTCTCGCATTAGCAAGACTTTCTCCCATGAGCAAGACTTTCTCCCATGAGCAAGACTTTCTCCCATGAGCAAGACTTTCTCGCATTAACAAGACTTTCTCTCATGAGCAAGACTTTCTCCCATGAGCAAGATTTTCTCGCATTAGCAAGACTTTCTCCCATAAGCAAGACTTTCTCGCATTAGCAAGACTTTCTCCCATGAGCAAGACTTTCTCCCATAAGCAAGACTTTCTCGCATTAGCAAGACTTTCTCCCATGAGCAGGACTTTCTCGCATTAGCAAGACTTTCTCCCATGAGCAAGACTTTCTCGCATTAGCAAGACTTTCTCCCATGAGCAAGACTTTCTCGCATTAGCAAGACTTTCTCCCATGAGCAAGACTTTCTCCCATAAGCAAGACTTTCTCGCATTAGCAAGACTTTCTACAATGAGCAAGACTTTCTCCCATAAGCAAGACTTTCTCCCATGAGCAAGACTTTCTCTCATAAGCAAGACTTTCTCGCATTTGCAAGACTTTCTCCCATGAGCAAGACTTTCTCCCATGAGCAAGACTTTCTCCCATAAGCAAGACTTTCTCGCATTAGCAAGACTTTCTCTCATAAGCAAGACTTTCTCGCATTTGCAAGGCTTTCTCCCATGAGCAAGACTTTCTCCCATAAGTAAAACTTTCTCCAATAAGCAAGACTTTCTCCCATAAGTAAAACTTTCTCCAATAAGCAAGACTTTCTAATATAAGCAAGATTTTCTCTCATGAGCAAGACTTTCTCCCATGAGCAAGACTTTCTCCAATGAGCAAGACTTTCTCCCATGAGCAAGACTTTCTCCCATTAGCAAGACTTTCTCCCTTGAGCAAGACTTTCTCCCATGAGCAAAGATTTTCTCGCATTAGCAAGACTTTCTCCAATAAGCAAGATTTTCTCGCATTAGCAAGACTTTCTCCTATGAGCAAGACTTTCTCCTATGAGCAAGACTTTCTCCCATAAGCAAGACTTTCTCGCATTAGCAAGACTTTCTCCCATGAGCAAGACTTTCTCCCATAAGCAAGACTTTCTCCCATGAGCAAGACTTTCTCCCATGAGCAAGACTTTCTCGCATTAACAAGACTTTCTCTCATGAGCAAGACTTTCTCCCATGAGCAAGATTTTCTCGCATTAGCAAGACTTTCTCCCATAAGCAAGACTTTCTCGCATTAGCAAGACTTTCTCCCATGAGCAAGACTTTCTCCCATAAGCAAGACTTTCTCGCATTAGCAAGACTTTCTCCCATGAGCAGGACTTTCTCGCATTAGCAAGACTTTCTCCCATGAGCAAGACTTTCTCGCATTAGCAAGACTTTCTCCCATGAGCAAGACTTTCTCGCATTAGCAAGACTTTCTCCCATGAGCAAGACTTTCTCCCATAAGCAAGACTTTCTCGCATTAGCAAGACTTTCTACAATGAGCAAGACTTTCTCCCATAAGCAAGACTTTCTCCCATGAGCAAGACTTTCTCTCATAAGCAAGACTTTCTCGCATTTGCAAGACTTTCTCCCATGAGCTAGACTTTCTCCCATGAGCAAGCTTTCTCCCATAAGCAAGACTTTCTCGCATTAGCAAGACTTCTCTCATAAGCAAGACTTTCTCGCATTTGCAAGGCTTTCTCCCATGAGCAAGACTTTCTCCCATAAGTAAACTTTCTCCAATAAGCAAGACTTTCTCCCATAAGTAAAACTTTCTCCAATAAGCAAAAACTTTCTAAAATAAGCAGATTTTCTCTCATGAGCAAGACTTTCTCCCATGAGCAAGACTTTCTCCAATGAGCAAGACTTTCTCCCATGAGCAAGACTTTTCTCCCATTAGCAAGACTTTCTCCCTTGAGCAAGACTTCTCCCATGAGCAAAGATTTTCTCGCATTAGCAAGGGCTTTCTCCAATAAGCAAGATTTTCTCGCATTAGCAAGACTTTCTCCCAGAGCAAGGGCTTTCTCCTATGAGCAAGACTTTCTCCCATAAGCAAGACTTTCTCGCATTAGCAAGACTTTCTCCCATGAGCAAGACTTTTCTCCATAAGCAGACTTTCTCGCATTAGCAAGACTTTCTCCATGAGCAGGACTTTCTCGCATTAGCAAGACTTTCTCCCATGAGCAAGACTTTCTCGCATTAGCAAGACTTTCTCCCATGAGCAAGACTTTCTCGCATTAGCAAGACTTTCTCCCATGAGCAAGACTTTCTCCCATAAGCAAGACTTTCTCGCATTAGCAAGACTTTCTACGATGAGCAAGACTTTCTCCCATAAGCAAGACTTTCTCCCATGAGCAAGACTTTCTCTCATAAGCAAGACTTTCTCGCATTTGCAAGGCTTTCTCCCATGAGCAAGACTTTCTCCATGAGCAAGACTTTCTCCCATAAGCAAGACTTTCTGCATTAGCAAGACTTTCTCCATAAGCAAGACTTTCTCCCAAGAGGAAGACTTTCTCCATAAGTAAAACTTTCTCCAATAAGCAAGACTTTCTCCCATAAGTAAAACTTTCTCAATAAGCAAGACTTTCTAATATAAGCAAGATTTTCTCTCATGAGCAAGACTTTCTCCCATGAGCAAGACTTTCTCCATGAGCAAGACTTTCTCCCAATGAGCAAGACTTTCTCCCATTTGCAAGACTTTCTCCCTTGAGCAAGACTTTCTCCCATGAGCAAGGTTTTTTCGCATTAGCAAGACTTTCTCCCATAAGCAAGACTTTCTCGCATTAGCAAGACTTTCTCCCAAGAGCAAGACTTTCTCCTATGAGCAAGACTTTCTCCCATAAGCAAGACTTTCTCGCATTAGCCCAAGACTTTCTCCATGAGCAAGACTTTCTCACATGACAAGATTTTCTCGCATTAGCAAGACTTTTCTCCCATAAGCAAGACTTTCTCGCATTAGCAAGACTTTCTCCCCTGAGCAAGACTTTCTCCAAAAGCAAGACTTTCTCGCATTAGCAAGACTTTCTACGATGAGCAAGACTTTCTCCCATAAGCAAGACTTTCTCCCATGAGCAAGACTTTTCTCTAATAAGCAAGACTTTCTGCATTTGCAAGGCTTTCTCCATGAGCAAGACTTTCTCCCATGAGCAAAAAATTTCTCCCATAAGCAAGACTTTCTCGCATTAGCAATAAATTTCCTCCATAAGCAAGACTTTCTCCCAAGAGGAAGACTTTCTCCCATAAGTAAAACTTTCTCCAATAAGCAAGACTTTCTCCCATAAGTAAAACTTTCTCCAATAAGCAAGACTTTCTAATATAAGCAAGATTTTCTCTCATGAGCAAGACTTTCTCCCATGAGAAAGACTTTCTCCCATGAGCAAGACTTTCTCCCATGAGCAAGACTTTCTCCCATTAGCAAGACTTTCTCCCTTGAGCAAGACTTTCTCCCATGAGCAAGGTTTTTTCGCATTAGCAAGACTTTCTCCCATAAGCAAGACTTTCTCGCATTAGCAAGACTTTTCTCCCAAGAGCAGACTTTTCCTATGAGCAAGACCCTTTTTCCCATAAGCAAGACTTTCTCGCATTAGCAAGACTTTCTCCCATGAGCAAGACTTTCTCCCATGAGCAAGATTTTCTCGCATTAGCAAGACTTTCTCCCATAAGCAAGACTTTCTCGCATTAGCAAGACTTTCTCCCATGAGCAAGACTTTCTCCCATAAGCAAGACTTTCTCGCATTAGCAAGACTTTCTCCCATGAGCAAGACTTTCTCCCATAAGCAAGACTTTCTCGCATTAACAAGACTTTCTCCCATAAGCAAGACTTTCTCGCATTAGCAAGACTTTCTCCTATTAGCAAGACTTTCTCCCATAAGAAAGACTTTTTCCCATGAGCAAGATTTTCTTCCCTAAGCAAGACTTTCTCCAATAACCAAACTTTTCTAACTTTGTCCCACAACCAAGACTTTCTATCATAAGACAGACTTTCCGCAATAAGTCTAAGCGCTCCCTCAAGTCTACTGGGAAAATACTTCAATTTACATAACTCCTAAATCCTTAGAACTCCCGCAGGGAAGAGGAAGTGATGTGTGTATGTGTGTGTGTGTGTGTGTGTGTGTGTATTCTAAGGGATGGTAAAGCCAGTAGTAGTGAAACTTCTCGTATTAATGTGTTAATTGTACCACGTGTCTTATTCTCACATTGAGTATATATGATTTACCAGTTAAATATCACCTCAGTAGGTAAATCTGTTCTTTAATAGATGTGATTTTAACATGTTAATTTTGTTCCATATGTATGTGCGTGATGGATATTCTGCCATCTGTTACTGGTAGCCAAGATAATGACCTCACAACACAAGGCTCTGGTGATTGGATGGTGATGCGTGACGTCACAGCAGAGGGTAATCGATGATTGGACTGCTGTGTGTGTGACGTCATGGCACCATGGCACTCAACAGATGTCATGCCAATCATCAACTAACTACACCTTCCATCCATCCCATCCATCCAGCCTTACTAAAAACCCAAGACGAAAAAAACGTAAGATATTAAACCAAATCGACATAAAACTACGAATTTGAGGGGACCGAAGACAACATAAGGAGGGGAAAACAGAGTGTACGTATGGGGCGCATCGTGTGGATGGCAGCGGAGTTTAGAGGTGGTGGTAGGTGGTGTGTGTGTGTGCGTGTGTGTGTGTGTGTGCGTGTGTGTGTGTGTGCGTGTGTGTGTGAGTGTGTGTGTGTGTGTGTGTGTGTGTGTGTGTGTGTGTGTGTGTGTGTGTGTGTGTGTGTGTGTGTGTGTGTGTGTGTGAGAGAGGAGAGAGAGAGGGAGGCGAGAGCAGCCGGCTACACCCACAAGACAGAGGGTCACTCGCTGTGCAGACACCACACGCAGTACACACACACACAGCGGCTCCTCCTTCTCCTCTTCTTCGGCTCAGACAAGTGTCTCTGGCACCATGGGTAGCAAAGTGCTGGTGATGGTGGTGGCACTCTGCCTCTTGCTCAGTGTGGTCCTGGCACAACCTCTCCTGGAAGAAGGTGAGTGTGTGTGGGGAAGGAATACTTCCTGCTGTGGTGAGGAAGTATACCTTCTGGTGTGGTGGGGAAGATACATAGGTATCCCTTCTTAAAGGGTGGGGAAAATAGACACATATACCTCCTAGTGTGGTGGGGAAAGTGGGAAATTATCCCTCCTGCTGTGGTGGAGAGGGCAGGGAAGATTTTCTTTAATATACGTGACAGTTGGGGGGATTTCCTCTGTAGGTGTTGACAGGTGTGTGTTTGACAGATGTTGGAACAGACAACTACAGTAATTTTCTTTCAACAGCTGTTCAAGGTGCTATTAACAGCTGTTAAAATTGTTAACAATCTGTTAATTCGTTAACAACTCTTAAAGTTGTTAACAGATGTTCAAGGTGTTGTTAACAGCTGTTAAAGATGTTGTTAACAGCTGTTAAAGTTGTTAGCAGTTGTTAAAGGTGTTCACAGCTGTTAAAGGTGCTGTTAACAGCTGTTAAGGTTGATGTTAACAGCTGTTCAAGATATTATTAACATCTGTTAAAGGTGCTGTTAACAGCTGTTAAAGATAATGTTAACAGCTGTTCAAGGTGTTGTCAACATTTGTTAAAGGTGTAAATATCTGCGAAAAGTGTTGTTAACATCTGTTAAAGATGTTGTGAATATCTGTTAAAAGTGCTGTTAACAGCTGCTCAGGGTGCCGTTAACAGCTGTTAAAGGTGCTGTTAACAGCTGTTCAAGGTGTTAACAGATGTTAAATATGTTAACAACAGTTAGAGGTGGTCTTAACAGCTATTCAAGATTTTGTTAAAAGCTGTTGAAGGTGTTAACTGTAATAGATGTTAACAGCTGTTAAAAGTGTTAACATCTGATAAAGGTGTTAGCAGCTATTAAACATGTTGTTAACAGCTACTAAATGTGTTTTAACAGCTGTTCTAGGTGTTGTTAACAGCTGTAAAAAGTATTGTTAATAACAGTTAATTGTGCAGTTGGCAGCTGCTATACTGATAGCTCTTAAGAGGAGAGTTATCTGCTGTTAAAAGTGTCCAGTTAACAGCTGTTAAAAGTGGAGTTAACGACTATTAAAAGTGGAGTCAACATCTGTTTAAAATGGAGTTAACAGCTGTTAAAAGTAGAATTAACAGCTGTTTTAAAAGTGGAGTTAACAGCTGTTAAATGTGGAGTTAACAGATATTAAAAGTAGAGTTAACAGATGTTAAAAGTGGAGTTAACAGCTGTTAAATGTGGAGTTAACAGATATTAAAAGTAGAGTTAACAGATGTTAAAACTGGAGTTAATAGCTGTTAAATGTAGAGTTAACAGATATTAAAAGTAGAGTTAACAGGTGCTAAACATGGCATTTACAGTTGTTATTAGCAGATGTGTGATATAAGATTGTTTGTGAAGATGCTAACTGTTGGTGAAGGTAATAAGTCCAATAATGGTATGTTAATAGGCCCATTAATAGTGTTAATAGGTCTGTTAATGGTGTCGTTAATAGGTCCATTAATGTTGTGTTAATAGGACCATTAAAGGCGCGTTTAAAAGTCCATTATTAGAGTGTTAATAGGTATATTAATAGTGTGTTAATTGGTCCATTAATGGTGTGTTAATAGGTCACTTAATTATGTATTATTTGGTCCATTGATGGTGCATTGTTAGGTTATTAATGGTGTGTTAAAAAGTCCATTAACTGGTTCATTGATGGTATATTAATAGGTCCATTAATTTGTATTATTAAGTCCATTAATGGTGTGTTATTAGGCCTATTAATGGTGTATTATTAGGCAGATAATTGGTGTCGTTATCAGGTCATACCCACTCTTATAACTGTGTATACACTCTTCCTGCAGCAGTTATTGCTAACCTTAATAAGGTTCATTTTTGTCTTTGGTTTAGATTTATATTCTCTTGTCCAAGGTTTCCTCTCAAGCATTCTCTCTCTCTCTCTCTCTCTCCTCTCTCTGTCTTGTCTCTCTCTGTTCCTTCTCTCCGTCTTCCCTCGCTTCTTCTTCCCTGTCTCCGACTCTCTTACCAAATTTTCCAATGATCTTGTTCGTTGCCATTTTTGATCCTTTTTCTGTTCTCGTCTTCAGTGTTCTAGTGTGTGTTCCTCTCGTCTTCAGTGTTCTAAGGTTTATTCTTCTCGTCTTCCTCTGAGGGTCAGTTATATCTCCGGGCTCTTGAAGGTCGATCCGTCGATGCTAGAGGGCTCTTCATCCAAGGAAATGAAGTTGCATTTCCACTGTTTATGTAGAACTTGATTGTCTCCCATTTCCAAGGTGCTGTATGAGCCATACGGGCTTAGTGCCTCCCAATTAGAATACTGCTACTACTACTACTACTACTACTAATACTACTACTACTACTACTACTACTACTACTACTAATAATAATAATAGTAATAATAATAATCATCATCTTCATGGGGAAGTGGAAAAGAATTCTTCCTCCGTAAGCCATGTGTGTCGTAAGAGACGACTAAAATGCCGGGAGCAAGGAGCTGGTAACCCCTTCCCCTGTATACATTACTAACTTAAAGAAAATTGTTCGTTTTTCTTTTTGGGTCACCCTGCCTTAGTGGGATACGTCCGGTGTGTTAAAAAAAATAATAATGATAGGTAGTCTTAGCTTGGGGACAAGGACTAGTGTCGGAGATGACCTTTGGACTTTCTCCAGCTTTCCTCAGTGTGGGCTTTATGCCGGTGCTTCGTACTTTATAATGGATATGATGTACATTGTGTATACAGTCTTCAAAGGTCTCTTTGTTGAGGCTCTTTTGTTTTGCTAGGTGCGTGCTCACTGCCTTTGTTATTCATCGTGTTGGTAGTTTACTGACAGTTTACACCATGTGGAGCCCTGCCGTTACGGTTATTTGGCTGAGGTGTGCTTAGGTAAACAAACCATAGAACGGGTGAGGTTTGAACCCATGGCAAGTAAATCTCAAAACTCCAGTATGCTTAAGTGTTTTACTCACCCCAGGGGTCCATTTTGTTGTGGTTCGTAGCTTTCATCCTTTATTTAATATACCGTATCTTGTCTTCTCTCTCTTCGATTTTTCACACTCGTGTGCTTGAAGCTTAACAACCACTCGTCTGACCGTTGCTGCAGTCTTCCCAGGTAGTTTTTTTTCCTGACATTCTAATCCTCTGTAGAATTAAGTCCTCTGCAAACATGGATACCAAGGATGTACAGCCAATTAGTTTACGTATAACAGGAACAGTAATGGTCCCAGTAAGGAGCCTTGTGGAGCACCACTCGTGTAGTACATGTTTATTCCGACATCTCTTCTCAAACCATTACGTCCCGTCTCATTCTTCTCTGATATACCGTCATCCACCACATTTCATTTCTCGATATTTCTGAATTGTGTTCTAATTTTTTTATAACTTATCTATCGAGAAGAACAGTCTGAAATACCTTGTTTTACAGAGAATAAACATCCAATATATTCATCAATCTATCCATCTTTCTCATTTCTGTTTAGTCAGTGTTATTCCGTCGTTTAACTCCAGGAGGTTCACATCACAAGATTTACTTTGAGACACTTGTGCAACATATGGGATCTTTATTACGGAGATGTTTCGCCAGCCAGTGATAGAGATTCCTAAATGCTGAACAAGTGTCTTATTCTTCAACTTGTCGATTTTATAAACTACATCACAGGATTTACTTTTCCCCTTAAATCCTTGCTGGTGTTTTTCAGGTCTCCGTTTATAAGTCTTTCCCATTACCTTACGTACTATGAACGTTGTGAACACAGTCTGTTGTTCAGTTCTCTCTCTCTCTCTCTCTCTTCTCTCTCTCTCTCTCTCTCTCTCTCTCTCTCTCTCTCTCTCTCTCTCTCTCTCTTTTATTGAACACTGGAATATCTCATATTTTCCAGATTTCTGAGATGTTGTATTTCCAACGCTTTGTTGATTTTTGACTGAGGTTCAGGCAGTACATCTCGGACCACTCTCAGAACCCAGGAGAACACGTAGGTTCACTTCACTTAACACCTTCACTGTAAAGTACTTCCACCACTTAAGTTCCTTAAAGAATTGCATGTCAACTTTTCCTTGAATGTAAGCAATCTGGTAAACCACAGGTACGTAATTCAATTTCAAGGCGAGCAGGAGAGAAAGAGATGAGGGTGGATGATAGTGCCAACGGAAAGGTGTAAGGCGGGGAAGCTGGTGTCAGTTAGTTAACCTAATATTGTTCGTACGCACCTCATACCATCAGCAGACAGGGAGAGTCGTGGGTAATGTCAGTAGTGCGGAAGCAAGGGAGTGAGCAAGGTGTGGCGAGTTATGGTCACGAAAAAACAGGGAAGGAGTGTACGAGCCTCTAGAGGTGTGGGAGATTCAGCTCTCAGACGAGCTCCGCCTGCTGCTTTTATCTTACCTACCTCCATCTCACCCACTGCTAGTGCTGCTTCTGCTACAGCTCCTACTTCCCTTACCTAATTCCCCTCCTCCCTTCTCCTGCTACTGCTTCTCCTCCACCATAGCCTTCTCCCCCCGTCATTTCTTTCCCTTGTGTGTGAGACAAATCATCCTTAAAGATAATTTTAAGACATGATAACTCAAGCTTTCTGCTGGAGGGAAAGCTGTCAAGCTCTCATAGCTGCTGAAAACTTCGTGGAGAGTCGAACTTAAATCTCCCAGCACAGGCAGACAGATTCCCATACATCATGAATGCGTCATCCTCTACGACAGATCATAACAAGGAAAACACAGCTAGCTATTGTTTCCATGATAAAACTTAACCTGCTTTTAAGCCTATCAGCTACACGATGGTTTATTAATGAACCATGTAACCTGTTCACCACCATTCAAGAATACTTTAATACCTAAAATGGTGTTAAATATACTTATACACCGGAAGACACACACCTCTCGGTGTATATATCCTCCTGTACGCTATTTACAATAGAGTTTCATTCATTCTGTTCTCAAATTAAGTCGTTAAAGTTGTACCACACGGATTTGCTAGAGAATATTGTAGAGTGGATATATAAATACAATTTGTCAGTG